CTCCAGGCTGAACAGACCAAGTGCCCTCAGCTGCTCCTCATACGGCTTCCCCTTAAGGCCCTTCACCATCCTTGTCGCCCTCCTTTGGACGCTCTCTAACAGCTTAATACCTTTCTTATATTGCAGTGACCAAAACTGCACACAGTATTTAGGGTGAGGCTGCAGCACTGCAGAGTAGAGTGGGACCTGAAGGTAATAATCTGCAAGCTTGCTTATTTATCTTATAATTACATACATAAAATGGCATTTAATGACTTTCTCTTTAGAAATCCTGCTGTATCCCGTAGAAGCTCAAGGTGCACTTAAAGATGCTTAAGGTCACAAAGCATGGACTTAGCAGCTTCACTGGGTTGTTCAAACATGAGCATTTTAGCCCTTTACTCTGAGGGACTTTTACAGAGTGAACTGGCTGAGCACACCAAGGTAGGTTGTTCAGTTTGGAACTGTAACCATAGAGAAGAAGATGATTTTCTCAGGGCATTACCATAATTTTCCTTCAAACACACACAAATCTTTTCATGGAAAGTTTCATCCATTAACTCAGCTTGCAAATTGTTAAGCCCTACAACTAGCTGTTCTTTTTCTGTCCTTATTTTTTTGTTTCTTTGAAGTAGTAGTTATATACCAGAACTTACAAAGTGCTGAGCACTGTATTCCCCATCAAGCAAACTTCTTGTTCTTAATCACGCACTGGAAAATGCTGCCAGATTGGAGCTAAATCTCTGCACGTCTCCTGTATTTTTCCAGCTGGACACCTTTTTCATTCTTGTGAAAGGATGGATGTGCTGCTATGACACTGAGCTTGGGCTGGGATGATTCGAAGTCCGGTTTGATATGCTACAGCCTCATTTAATCATTTTAATTTAAAAAATGGAGATGATAAATATTTTGTCTTTTTTATTTTGAACTCTTGGGATGGCATTTATTTCTTAGCTGTATAAGACCATTAAGCTTACGGACCTTACGGCGTGCTGTAAATAACAGCTATCACTTATGGGGCAGACTTTCAACCCCTGGGGTGACTCTGATTAGAACTCCTATTACCCAGCTTTGGTGTAGAAATGTCTTGAGAGGGCTTCTGCTCACCAGTTCTGTGCAGCACTGTGAAATTGCATACCAAACAGTACTGATGCTTCAGATAAGATTTTATTCAAAGCCTTGTACTGCCAGATATGCAAAAGAACAGATTGTCTTTATATGGCTTAATTTTAAGAAATGCAATGTTTTAGACCTTTTGAAAGATGAATTCAAATAATGGACATTCACTGTGTCTACATTTTAGAGTGCCAGTTTCCAGCATCTTTTTGAGCAAAAGTATATCCTACTTTTTCTCTACCTTTGTTAGTAATTGTCATAATTGTAGGGTACCATTTCATTTTTTTTTGCAATTTCGTATATTACCTCTCTACAATTCTACTCAGATGAGCTCCATATTGCCCCTTTCATTTCATTAAACACTAAATCGATGAACTTTAAGCACACCAAGTTTAGTAATGTGGCATTAAGTATTAATCCATTAAACACCCAGATAGTAAATCTACCACCTATCTCTTCTGAAGAGGTTATAATATGCCATACAATTAATTATCTGGAACTGGAATACCTTTAATTTCTGTGAACTACAAAATGGAACTATTAGTAGAAAACATTACACTTCCATTATGAGAAGAAACACAACAGATTTTTAAGGTCTAAAACCCTTTTAGCAATCTCTGATGTAGCTTGCCTAGACAGCACCTTCTGTGAAATGTTTGTGCTTGTAAAGACATGCTCACATCAACTGTTCTGATAACAGTGATTTACACTGGCTGTGTGACCTGTCTGTCAGCACATCTACATATGAGTTCATCTGCTCTCTCTGCTTCCTTTTTAATACAAGAGGCAGAAATACCATAAGCATCCTATGAAGCATACAGCTAAACTGATGAGGGATGAGAGGGCTGGAAGGCAGAACTGAATTACCTTTCTGTTGATTACCATTTCTGGATGCTCTTCTTGCACACCAGCAGAAGTCAGTGGTAAGAGATCAAAAGACATCTCTGTGCTGTGCTAATGCACTGATCAGCACGTATATTAGTGAAAAAAACCCTCAACATGGGTGTGTATAAACAACTCAGTGCTAAATTGAAAAGCTCTGTTTAAATCACATCACATTCTGCAGTTGCATGTGATACTGTTGGTCATGCTTAAGATCTTGTCCTCTTGGTGCTACACACAGTTTTCCTTAATATGACTGAATAAAAATGGGGAAAACAGAGCCTAGGGGCTCATCTTGACTAGCTCACAAAGCTAGTCACAAAGCTCTGCAGTATCCCCCAGAGGGAAGGCCATAACACTTTGTGGGTCATATGTAAAAATATAGTTATAAATAACCATTAAAAGAGATAGGACAAAGATTGTAGGTTGTTGTTTTAAAATAACCCCACATGTTCTCCTTGTAGCTCACAAAGCTAGTCACAAAGCTCTGCAGTATCTAACACTTTGTGGGTCATATGTAAAAATATAGTTATAAATAACCATTAAAAGAGATAGGACAAAGATTGTAGGCTGTTGTTTTAAAATAACCCCACATGTTCTCCTTGTTTGTTTGTTCTTAGTTCATTCACAGAAATTATTAGATGTATATATAAGATATACAATATAGACATCCATAAATGGGTAAGAGGGCAAGGTCATTAAAATTATAAAATAATTTACATTAAAATACATAAATGAATACTGTTGCAGATGAGAAATGAAAAGACTCTTCATCCTTGCTATGTTTTCCTGTCATATGCTGTAGTCCCTGTAGATGTTCCACTGGAAAAAATGCCTTCTTTTGTTTTGATGATGCTAGTATGGACTTTTTGAGGGGGTTTTGCAAAACTGAAGAAATAATATCAATGTATTGTTAACCTGTTTTCATGTATATTTCAGATTTGCTCTTATTTAAGTTTTCAGTAAACCTCTCCTCATTTTCTTGTCAGAGGTGGTGTCCATAAATAATTTGAAAACAACATAATGAAGGGCAATGTTGCCTGTGACATCTCTCACGTGCGTACTCAGCTGTTCTGTTGTCTTTGCTTGCTATCATCCGTCACCAGATGATAACAGAATAATTCTGGAGATCCTGATTGTTTAATTAACTGGAGTGGGAGCAGGGACTGTTGCTTCTCTAAGGTCCTGGTTGGTGGTAGCAGTTGCAAGAAAGGCTAGTACAATACATTTTTTATGGTCTTAATGATGTGGGCTTTTCTTTGCCACACATAATTAAAATTCATGAGGTAGTGGGTTAATAGATATTATGAAAAGGTCCCTGTGCAGAAATGTTACATACTGCAATATAATTAATAGAACAGCAAGTCTTTAAAGTTAACTGCTGTATTTGATTTGACCATTTAATGATAACTTTCAAATAGAAGTGAAGAGGGCTGAGAGTAGCCTGATGTTGAAACAAAAGCACCCCTTTAAAGAAACTGATCCTAAATAGTTATAATTATTGATAACAATAATTAACTTTGTCTCTGGTAAATCATAATAAATCTATAAATGTCTTGTGCTGAACCTGTTGTGATAATGCTTTAAAAAAAATATATGTTCTATGTAGTGCGTGAACTCTTGATTTTCCTAAACCTTCAAGATTTTCCCCTAAACAATGAAAATTTTAATAGCATGAAATATAGTGAATACTGAAAAATTCACTGGATCTTACCCATGTTCTAAAAAGCTGTATTTACTAAAATTGGGTTAAACACCTCTTAGTGCTCTTTGGTTTTGATACATTTAGCACTGTGGCAGATGATGTGGTAAACAAGATGAACCAGATAGAGAATAGTCACTAGCAGTTTAGTGCAACATCGTAATCTTTCTCTTCACTGCAGATGCGGGGTAAAAATGGTCCATTACCCTTCTGAATAGTCATCTCTTGACGTGACTGGTTTCTAGGTTTCACATGTTTCTGGGACAGAGAAACCTACTCAGCCTAATTTCTACTTCTGGCACTGAGACTGCAGGATCTGCTCTCAACCTCTCAGTATTTGTTGGGCATCCTAAAAACAGGAGAGAATCACCCACCACCGACTTGTTCCTCAGTGGAGATTTCCCAGTGCATCCTGCACCGGAACCCTACAGTGTGCACATCCATTTCTCCTGGAACCTACCTGGGGAATTTTCTAGGTCAAGGAGTCTCCATGCTGGTAGTTTAACCTATCTGGTAAAGACATAAAAGAACAGAGAGGATGCAACTAAATATATCTCTGTACCAAAAAGACATTATGCCTAAAGCATTGCTAATTATATATTCTTGAAAATAACAAGAGATGGGAGGCATTCCTCATTTCCTGAGTACCTGGGCAGCATTTCACCCCTGTGTCCTCCTGAAATGTGGCAATGGTGTGTCCTTCTAGCTCAGGTTGGACTCTTATATGTAAGCAGGTTTCTGTCTCTCTTACACAGTGCTCTGGAGATGTCCAGCTGTTTTCTACTTCCTTTTCACATGGAAACATATTATTCCAGAAGAATGAGAATAATTTTATGTAATTAATGGATCTCAGTTCTGTGTCCAGTAGCCTTTCAGAGCTGGAAGGCAATTCAGAAGGGCAAATTTAGACATTTATCATATGATAGAGGTGTATTTTAATTTCATTTAAGTTTTTATTTTGTGTATTGTGAAGGCCTAAGGTAAATAAAGCAAGTTTCATTTGGCATGCATATTTTAGCTTACCTAAACTTCAACCTGTCTATCTGTCAAATGTCAAATAGCCCCAGTTCTGCATATGTGATAGTTTTATAGGAGGAGACGGAGTAACATTAAACAACCTGATAGATTATTTTCAAATGCTGCTAGGTCAGCTGAAGATGTTGTCCAGCTTGTCACAGCCTGGAGCAGAGCCTGTCTTGCTGCTGCTGTTTGAAGTTGTGTGTGTTTGGTGGGGTGAGGGAGTTAGGACTATGACTGGATTCAGCCTGTTCTGACAGCAGACATTGCCTGATATTCTTTTTTTCTCCCTTGTCTGGTGCAGGAAGAGGCCGGCTCAGCTATCCTCTGATCCAAGAGCAGTGAATGTCATGGGTGGTCTCCTGTCTTCTCTTCCTCATCCCCTTCTTTCCTGGGAGCTGCTGGATTCACCTGTCCCTTCAAGGACCACAGAAGAGCAAAATGTGTAGCACCCCACAGATTTCAGGAAGTATCAGGTACATGACATTCAAAGGAAGGGTGCAGTTCAGGTGCAGGGCAACCTCTGTTAGAAGCACTCTGCATTTTACAGTGACAGGACTTGCACCAGCAGTTCATGCATAAAAGCACTCTGGTGTCTCTATAGGCCACTGGCAAGTGGTGCTTGGACACTTGCTAGTGTTAGTTCAACATCAAGATTGAAGTTAGATCCCTTCGACCTTCTTTTTCGGTGTACTTAACTAAGTTTTCACTATGACTATTTGCTGTTACCAAAAGCCAGTCAAATGTGAGTCATGGTGCTAGTGAAGACAGTTTGCTGTGATGGAGTAACATGGTTAAAGAACATAAAGTTTTAAAAGAAATGATAGTGCATCTTCCCTGTAGAGGAAAATAAAAGTAATCCCAAACAAAAACACACATCTGACAATAGATGAGATTTGTGCCTGGAAATACCTTTTATCCTCCCACAGAGACCTCTCTCAATTATTTCTGAAGTGTAATAGATTTAAATTGATCCATACGACTTTACTAATGATATAATCAAACTTGCATCTGTACTCTGTGCTTCTCAGCTGAACTAATTTGAATGTAAGATAGGAATCAAACAAGTGACCATTGTGCATAGGAAAGAACAAAGAGAGTTTTAATTCTATTTGCATTGCAGGTGTTTTGAGCTATACATTTAAGTGATCAACAATCTATATTTGGTTCAGGGCACAATGACATATTTTATGAGATGTGTCACAAGTCAAATTCTTCTGCTGTAATTTCTAACCTCAGTTTTAAACACTGTCAGCATCATCTAGAATTTAGGAAAAAAGAGCAACTCATCACCACGCCAATTGAACAAAAACTGCTGTATGATTTAAATACCTATAGCTTCATCATTTACCCAGTTGTATGCTTTCAATTTGCTAAGCACGAGGTTGGTGATTAAACTGGTGCATAATTATTAGCAACAGAGAGACTGTTGTCAGATCTCGCAGATCTGACCAGGTGCAGGCTTCTCGGATTCAGTCAGAGCCTGCCTGTCAGTTTTACGAACAATCCAGCAAAATAAGTGACTGATTTTCTGCTATCATCACAGAGGCAGTTTTCAGCAGATTGTCACAGTAAAACTCCCGTTCTGAATAGTGTAATGAACATTCTGATGTTTGCAAAAGCCATTTTTTATATATAGACAAGTGTGAGTGTAAAAGCGTTAACAATTTGATCCCAGTATCTGTCTCTTTAGCTCTTTATCCATAACCTTTTATTAATATCCATCTATTTCACTCTAATGTCAAAGCCAATCAAAGACTTTGCGATAATGCAAACAGAATGGAAGTGTGGCCTGATGAATTAATCCCGTGTAATGAGGACTTCAAAAGATTAAATTTCCTTGCTCCCTTTCTCTGGCATACTTTCATGTTCAAAACCTATATGGCTGGTTTGCCAAGTGTTTGTCCAAATCTGAAATTTAGGCAGGATAATGTAGGCTGTGCATTGAAAGAGCAACGAGTTTTTGCATCAGCTCCCTGCAAGGGCAATCTCATCCTGGATTCTGAGTGTCTTTGTGGGGCTTGAATCTCATGTCTCTACTGGTGCTCGCTGAGATGGTGGCTCCCTTGCTGGGCTGGGAGATGCAGGAGCTTACTCTGTAGAGCAGGGAGAGATCTGGATGGTGCTTTCTGTCATTCCAAGGCGCTTATTTATGCTCATCTCTTCTGAGTACATCCTCCCTTTGGTTTTTCTGTACTTGCTTCTACTTCAATAATTTACCACTGGTGTAGGAATATGGATCAAGAGCAGAACCCCTGCAGCCAGAGAGGCAGTGTGGTAACAGGGCATATCCTTGGGCTCAGGCTCTTTGAACACTACTAGTGCTCCGCCTTGGCTCAGGGCTGCAGGAGCCAAACTCTGAGGGTGCAGCACTGTCCCCAGGTAATATGCAGCATCATGACTGAAACATAGCAGGTACATATAGTTGTCCAGCTTTTGGTCTGGAGCTGCTTCATGTCCTGCCAGGTCAGAGCCAACAGCCTTTGCTCCAGAGAGTGGCAGCCCGTGTGGAAAACTGCACAGAGCTGAGTGATCAGACAGCTAAGAGAGGACTCAAGCTAATAATCTTGGTTTCGAAAAATTGTTTTTAGAGGATGAGGTTTCTTTTTCTACAGTGTGCCCTCATTTTTCACCCTCTCTCACTGTAATTTGTAGTGTAGTTTTTCTAGATCAATCTAAATACACATATATAATAAGCATCCAACATAAAAATATGGACTGTTCAGTGAGAAGGGAAACATTTTGTCAACGTGCTTTTAAAGTGTTATTCTGGAGGATAAACAGTACCATGTTGAAGAAAGCAATCTATAAACACTGTTTTCCTCTTTCACCATATTGTAGTGTAAATTTGTTACTTGCCTTGACGTTTCTACCCCTCCTTGAAAGTATTCACCTGCTGTACCAGTATTTGAGCTAAATAGATGTTAAAGCTTGTGAAATAGAAACAACTAACCAGAAACTCATGCACAATAATTATACACTAATAAGCCTGTTTATTCTTCATCTTCTTGCAAAATATGGGTCCTGTTACTCACAATTTTATAAATGCAACAGTAAATAAATTTGAGTGTTTTAAAAATAAGTCATAAAAGCAGTCTAATTTCACTTAATGCATATATACAACAGTATGAAAGAGTGGGCCATGTTCTCCATCGCTGGAGGGAAGCACAGACCTGGCAAATACGAGTAAGGCTTTACACAAGAGCTGTCTTACAGTTGCTGGGGGAGAACAGGTTTGGACTGAAAAAAAATGGATTGAGCTGTAAAGACAACTTTAAATATTGATAAAAGGGGAGGAAAAAGTTTAAAAAAATATATATTTATGAAGTGCATTATTCTTTAATTGACAGTGACTTATGTTCTGATGCAAGTAATTTTAAAAGTCAAATCAGACTAACTTTTTGCTTGAAAAACAATGTCGCATTATTAGGTTTGTGGTACTGTGTTAATATCTCAATGTTTTAACTGCCAATACTATTGGAAATGAATATTTGCATTGCAAGAAGGCTTCCTTCCCAGGTAGAAATAGGGAATCTTTCCAATAATAGTGGTTTTACGGAGTGGTAGCCCTTTGAAAGTTCCAAGTGTCTTCACAAACCCGAAAGAAATTCAGTCATAAAAATAGGTTTGCACCTGGATCTCAAGCTGGGAGCCTGAAAATGGGTTTTGTGAAGGAATCATCATTCTGAAAGAAATGGCTTTAGCATCTTGTTAAGGGAAATATATCTGTCAGCTACAATTTCTACTTCAACTCATCAGCAACAAAAAGAAGAAGGAGCAGGCTAGTCTGGGAGCATGGAGAGATTTATACCTTCTGATGTTCTCCTAAGTACTCATGTTCGTAGTGCTTCACAATTTTTCATGTAGTATCCTTGCAACTTCCCTCTGAAGTGGAGAAGAGCCATGACTCTGATTTTACCAATGGGAATCTGAAAACAGGGAGGCTAAACTCCTTTGATTTGGATCAAGCAGTTTGTTCATGGTCACAGAGGAGATTTGTGGTGAAATGGAGAGGGAAAATAGGCTGTTCTTAACCCCAGGCTAATGTCCAGGTAACAGGGCCATGTTGTCTCCCTGGAAAACTGTTGGATCTGGTCTTTGGCTCTAATTCAGTCACATTACAGGCAATAATATCCATCTCTAATGCAGCAGCTTCTCCTGGCCTACACTGAGAAGATAGGCTCTGAAGAAACATTTTAAAAGCACTGGAAGAGGCTAGTAGGAGAAGTCTTGCTCATAAATCCTGCTCATAAGTCAGCTAATCCTCAACGTATCTCAATGAAGAAGGAAGTATTAGTTTATTAGAACAACTAACTGTGTGGTTCAGTTTTCCTAAATTCTGCTTGAAGCTCTAAGATGACAACCTCAAGGCTAACTTCTCCATAAAGTCAGTGGGGAGAGGTGAACCTTTAACTTGGATGACCCTGACTATCTGGAGACGTGTGGCTACCTTTCTTTCTTGATCACTTCATGGTTGGGGCAAGGCTTCTGAAGCACAGACATCTCAGTGGCTGAGTTAGGCTTCTACATAAGTTATGATGCCAGTGATAGGTCATTCCTTTCCCTGGTGTGTTATGTAGCTCTCTCTGGGATGTAAACTGGAGAGATGACAGCAGCACGTGGCTGCATGTAATGTCATGGCTGATGCACCCACAGTCAAAATACTTTGGTGTCTCTTCTTTCACTGAGAACTCCAAATTCAGGTTTCTGATTCTCCTGTCCTCAGGGGTCCATAAATAGCAAGCTGTTTGTGTCCTGGCTTGTGGGAACACAGGCATTGCACCTGGCCACAAATGTCTGAATTACACTGATCATGAAATGGGACAAAGTGGAGAGAACACCTTGCATGTGCCTGAGCTGGGAGAGCAAAACCTTGACTTGGGTGTTTCCAGACTTCTGATTGCTCACCAACATAATTTTCCACATACTATAGCATTTTATTTCCAAGGCTTACTTGATATGCTTAAAGAAAATCTGCAAATAATTTAAATCAAGTATTGAAAAAAACATACCAGGTGCTTGAGGAAAAATAGTTGACTCTTAACACATGTTTATTATTATTTTTGTTTTAAGGTTAGCATTATAAACAGAAGGTTATGGTCATTTCTTGCCTAACAAATAGCTGCCTTCATCATAATTTCTTCCCTAGTTATTCTCTGAGAGAGGAAATGAAGGGAAAGTGGGAAGAGGAAGGGAAAGAGTAGGTTTGCAGTTGACTTGACATTTTATCAAGGCCTGTTGCGATAGAACAAGAAATAACAGTTTTAAACTGAAAAGGGTTAATTTAGATTAGCTGTAAGGAAGAAATTTTTTACAATGAGGGTGGTAAAACACTCCTTGCCCAGAGAGATGATAAATGCCCCATCTCTTGAAACATTCAAGGTTGGAATGGATGGGGCTCTGAGAAACCTGATCTAGTTGAAGATGTCCCTGCTCACTGCAGGGCAGTTGTACAAGATTACCTTTAAAGGTCCCGTCCAATACAGACCATTTTATGGTTTTATGACTTGAACGGTTTTAAAGGATATTTTCATTCTCTCTGCTTAACTGCTCCCAGGAAGAGTTGAGACATAAGCAATCCACTTACTTTTAGTGACTTCAGCCAAAATACCAGGATAATTGTACCTGAAGGCAGAAGTGGTGACTTCACATACTTTTGCAGGCAGACATGCGTGCTCCAAGCCAGAATCTATTCCTGACCTACTTCACTCAATACCAGGTTTTGAATAGATGATTAGAGCAGTAGTTTATTTCAAATATGTCAGTTAGTCAAGGCTAAGTTTGCCCTTTCTAGTGGTATCTTTAAAGGTAGGGCAATATTCACAGGTATTATCAGAGGTGTATCTTCTCACTTTGAGCCAAAAGAAAAGGAAAAAAAAAAAAGAAAGAAAAGACTTTTTCTGAACAAAAAGACAGGTGGCAATTTTTCTAAAAGACATCATCAAACAAACAAGAAATTCAATTCAGTTTTTATCTCTCACTGCCAGAAAGCAAGGAAGATTCCATTTGGGTCAAATGTATGAGCTCCGTGACTGGCACAAGAAACAGAAATATTCAATGGATTTGTAATTTACCCTAGAAACAGACTGGTCTGATTGAAAATAATGATGTCTGACTGTGCAGGGCCAGTGAGTTGGCCTTTGTTAATGCAGAGCTAACCAAGATCTACCATGCACAGATGCTGGAAAACCAATTAGCTATTCTAAGAAGCACTGGCAGATAAAATGTCCCGATTAATCACACAAAATATGTGTATCCCCTTATTTCTGTAACTCCTGTTTGAAAATGGTCACTAATAGTTCTGAATGAACTCATTTAGTTGCTGGATATCCCAGCAGGGTTTTTCTGGAGCCAGATATAATTTGAATATCATTTGATGTATGAATCCTTGGGAAAGAACATAGCTGTGCATATAAACTGATGTCAAATGTATTTATACATATAAAACGTGTATGTGCAAGCAAAAGTCAAGGCTTGCTTACTCTGATGTATATCATAAAAAGCTGAAGATTATCAAATTACAATTGCTATATCATGCTGACTTATTTTTTATTAGCAGCTTACTAGAACATTTTACTGCTGAATGTACTGTTTTCTTCCTGTATGTTATTGATGCAGACATACTAGTATATTAATGCATTAGTGTCTAAACCATTTAAACAATAGTTTTACCCAGCTTTCAGATGACTTGTTCAACTAAAATTATACTTGTATAAAGAATTCAGTTACTCTTTCAGTGCATGGATACTAAATAATATAGAGTCTTTTATTTTCCACCACAGAATCAATAGGAAGCAGAGGAGAAATATTTCCCTGATGTGAAATCACACTGATTGTTTGGCAAAACATGTTTGTTTGTGCAGCTAAATGTGAGAGAGATCAAGAAGAACAGGTAGAAGAGAGGCTGAAAACCAGATGAGTTAGTTCAGGAAGAGGATCCCTTTTAAATAATCATTTTCTACAGCGAAGACACTCAATACAAGGCAGCAAAACAACTGCCCATCCTTAAGAGAGAGGATATCTGTCTACCATTCATCCACATACCAACACTACCCATTTTGTTTCAGCCTTTCCTCTCAGGCACAGGTCCTCTTTTCTTTCAGGAAGGAAAAACAAGTTAATGCAACACTTGTGAGAGTGAACTTTGCTTTCCTCTGCTCATGAATTCACGACTAGTGACTAGAAGGAAACAGGACAGGAACTTCCCTGTTTTCTGCCTGCACCTCTTCACCGTCTCTCAGAAAGGGCGACCCAGAGATCAGGGTGTGCACTTGGTGTCAGGCTTGGACCAAGCTTCACAGTGACTTTGGGTTGAATGTTTTTGCTCTCTAACCACTTGATTGGTGTCAAAGTAGATAGGGGACAGTGGACAATGATGCAGAGAGCTCCCAAAGGAAACAGGCTGATTAAGACCAAATGCCTGTGTTTTCTTCTCTTTTCTCATGCTGAGGATTTGGCCATTCATGCATGTTTCTGCTGACATTGCTGAAGCACCCCATTTCTCTCTTCTATTTGAGCTGAACCTGGAGGCACGCTGGGCTGTCATCCAGCAAACAGCTCATGAACACTCACTAAAAATACGTTCTGGTATGTTTATATCCAAACACATCTGTCCTGCAGATATTGTTGTGCAACAGAAAGAGTTCATAGGCTGCCAGTTGCAACCTTGGAACCCAACTCTTGTCATTAAGAAGTTGATTAAAAGGGTAACATTCAGTCCAGGAATGAAAGCACATGGGGAGCCTGTGGCTTCCACCATAGCCTCCCACTCTACAGGTCTCTCAGAAAGAACACTGAGACCTGTTAAGCCAGGACAGGGAGCATCTATAAAAAATTTAACCCCATCTCCCCTCTGTTCTTCCAGGCTGCCTCTGAAGCTCAGCCACTGAAGACACATTGAGGGGGACACCCAACATGTGAAGGGAAGAGTGAAAGGGGGTTCCTGCAGCACCAGGACCAGAGCCTTGTCTTCATGCATCTTGCGAGTAGATGGCAGGATACCATTGACTGTGTGCTGTATGAAGTGTCAGAGTACTTTGTTTGGGTAAACATTGCTATAATGTAAACAGCTCTCTGTCCCGGAAGAGGAGATGTTTTGCAAGCATAGCTGTTTTTCAACCCATCTCTTTAAGTGGATGTCCAAGCTATGAGGAGAAAAACAAAATGCACAAAAGAAAAAACCAAGAGAGAATTTGAGCAGGTGCATATCTGCCTCTGTTCTTGGTAATCGCTTTAAGACGTTAATGAAGTGATTCTTGTATTTCAAGGAAAACATGTTCTTCGTATTTTTGCTATATAAAACAATGCACAACATGAGAGAAAATGTAATCAATTATGTCTCACTCTGCCTTAACAAAAAATTGCTTAGTGTTGTCTCTAATAAACCTAAAAATGAGGAATGAAAGTACAGATTGCTCTGTGCGAGGTCTAATTTTTTTGTGTATGCATTATATTAACTATCTCTGCCCAATTTTGTGATAATAAGGCAAATAAGGAAAAAGCCTCAGTTGAAAACCCCAACGTATAATCAGAAATTACAAGTGGATAGTGCTTCATTGTAGGGGTTTTTACGGTCATTATGGATGGTAAGAGTCATGTTTAAATATTTGAATATAATTTCCCAGAATCAGTTAGGTACCCTCTTTGTAATGACTATTGATGGAGCTGTCCGTGCACTCATTAGCCTGTTTTTTGAGACTGTGGCCTCTCAAATCTGCAATGTTAGCTTATCATCTACCTCAGTGCAGGGTCACTTTCAGCCAGCGGTGGATAACGAGGCCCCGAGGTGGCATCACTACAGGGAAGCTCTGTAGAGCTATAGGAGCACAGTTACTTCTCCTACAGGGAGACCACAGCTTTATCTGCATGTCCCTAGCCTTTGGTTTAGCAAGAGACCAGAAGGATGTGACTTACTCAAAATTACTCCTTTCTTAAAAAATCTGGGAGATGATCTGGCTTACTCACATTGAACTAAAATGAGGAGATTTGTATGCTGCAAAAACAGAACTAAAGAAAGTTCCTTACCTGTTTCACATTTATAGTTTCTAAGACTTAACAGACCACAGAGAGGATGATAGACACTTTTAGCTTAAAGAAGGACTGATAATGAAATTCTCCAAAGTTTTAACGGAATAGATCTGCTTTCAAGGACCATGTATGTTCTGCAGTGCACAGAGCCAAAGACTCTCAGAGCATTAACAAACCTCTCCAGAATACAAAGGAGCTGAACTACACCTTTGCATTACCAGTTAATACTGTGGAAATTGATCACTTCCTTAAAAATCATAGCCTTTCTAATTCCTGCCTTAGGTAGTTAAGAGACAATGCTACCAGTCAAAAAATAATTTGTTAATTGATTTTGTAAAATTCTCATCCAGGAGGTAACTTATATGGTGGATTGGGCTAGGGGAAAAAAAAAGTAGTTTCTTTCTACCAAATACATAAGTGCTACAAAGGGAAAAAATGTTTTTTTTTCTTCTTGGTCAAAGAAAAACAGTAAAGATGTCAAAAAGGAGCTGAAGCAGTTTAAAGAACTAGCTTGTGCACAGAAGATAATCTTGGTACTTTCATGCATCCAGAAGAAATTTTATACTGTTTGTGCTAGAGAGTGCATATATAAGCCCACACTCATGCAAGTGCAAGTCTAGAAAAGGTGTAAGCATACACAAGGTGACTAAAGATGGCTTTGCCTTTACACAACTGATAAAGGCTCATTGATTTTACCCTACATGCACTTTGTAACTTTGTATTTTGGATTTATTTCTAGTTTGCACCCTTCATTTGCAACACCAAACACCCCGAATTGAAGCTGAAAAATATCATGTGCCGTAGTGACATCACCTTCTGGGGTGGAGGACATCTCTGGCTTACCTCAGTCCTCTGTTTGCTTCTGGAACCTGGTACTGCTCTGGAAATGTCCCTTTTTGGGAGTATCTACCACCGACATTTGAATCAAATTCTTCTTGGTGAAAACAAGTTTTGTGATCATTTTGCTCACATCAACCATTCCACTGCGTACTGCTGGGGCAAGGGTAAGGGAGGCTTTCCCTGTGGTGGAGTTGCAAAAAAATAATTCACAAAGCAGAATCAAAGGAAAGACATAAAATGTATAAATGGATTGTGCCATTGCACTGAATCATTTAGCACAAAAGACCAAAAACCAAAAAATGTGTGCATTGACTGAAAAGACCCATACCTGCAGCGTATTCAGAACTGGCAAAAATTTCCAGCTGCTCCTCATAAAATGCTTTTGTTGATGGTTTATAAACTGTGCATTCACTTCCTGCATGACAAAACCAAACAGAGACATGCACATGAGAAACACTTAGGCATTAAGCTGTCTGGGTTAAATTCATCCTTCGATGAATTCCACCAACATTTCTCTGTTGGATTTGGATGCTCAACATTTACAGAAAAATCTGGATGGAGTTGAACTTGCATGAACCACGCCAAATTTGTAATTACAAGGCCTGACAAGGAATATATCTCCTTCCTGCCATTGTTAACAGCGAGTGATTGCCTCTGTTATTCACATGCTAGTATCAAATCTATGGAGAATTCAGGGAGATGAGGAGCTTGATCTGAGAGAAATTGAAAACATAAGGCTCAAATTAAAGCACTCTGCAAGTAAAGGAAAGTTTTTTAACTATCAAAATGGAGGAAGAAGTGGGTGGCAGATAATATTTTTCCTTCATTTCATTTGACAGTTTAGAATATCTATCACCTATTGTTTTGTGAGGGAAATTGGTACATTCTGATTAAATCTTGAATTATATACCACACAACACAGTCTTAGATATGGCTTTTCCTTTTATTGCAAACTGCTTCTGTGAAGAATTACTCCTCTTACTCCTTCTTTTTCTGTATCTTCACATGATTCCTGTGTTCACACCTTTTCTACAAACATCATTCTATAAGTTTCAGTGCGTATACCTTTACAAAAAATGTTGTGGTAATTTATAGAGTGGGTTTGCTTTCTTCCTCTTTATCTGTAGCATGTTATTCTCACAAAGCTAATAGTATTTCCCCTTCCTGTGCTATAAGAGTGTTGTTGACAGAAAGGACATAGGATTGATCCAGCATTCACAGTTCTTGTAAGGGAATTTGTAAGGGTGAGTGCCTCATGATAGCATAACTTTTCAGGGAAAGCTAAACCATCTTGCAGTCTTAGGAAATATTGAATCCCATTCTACAGCTTTACTCCTTTACCCAGTACAGTATATCACCTTGTTGGGGTGGTAGATTACTGGTATGGAGCAGCCCACTGCTTTAACAGCCAGCTGCAGCACACCTGCAGGAGCTTGCCTTGCGCTTCGCTTTCCTGCCATCAGATTTACAACCTCCTCCTGATGTCACACTGGGCACTCCAGCTCAGCAAGACTTGGCACATTTACGCCTGGTGGCAGTTTTGAGCTCTTCGGTTTCTTATTTCAGGCTCTCTGCAGACTCAGACAGACATCCCTGTGCCAGTTATACTCAGTTTTGCCCCATAAATATGTAGTAAAGGTAGAAGTAGTTTCTATGGTCTGACCTGTTGTGTGTTGCAGGCTGTGGGACTCTCCTAAATTACTTTGTGTTTGATCTAGACTACTGGCTTTTGAACAACATTCAGTCTTTGTTTAAAAATTGACATTGCCAGAAAATGCACTTCAAAGACTGTTTCTACCAAAACCAGATTTTTCATCACATGCCCACTGTATCTCCAGCCTTAACTTTCATTTACTTGCTTTAATTTGTCTGCTGAACTGAATAACCCATTTAAAAAGTTGTATTCCCTCGTAAATACTTACAAACTCATCAAATTACCTTTTAACCTTTTCTTTCATTAACTAAATAGATTGAGTTCCTGCAGTGTTACTAACGGATGCTTCCTCTTGTTCTTTAATCTTTCTCAGTGCTGCCTTGATTCCTTTCAGTTATTAATGTCCTTTCCAGGACATGAAATTCCAGTTGTGATTACATCAATGTTCAGTGCAAAAGCAGGACCAGCTTCACGTCTTTTTAAGAGATCTGGGGCTCCTTTTTTGGCCACAGGACTGAACTGAGGATGCATGTTTCTTCCTAAGACTTATGTTTCTACTTAGATCAGATGTCATATTCATAAGGGACATTGTTTCTCCAAATTGAGCCCCCAGAGATGCCCTACTTCCTTTGTTTCTAGACATATGACCACCAGCTGGTCTTAATACTGTGGATTTTATTTATGTCCATCTTTCCATGTGGTAAAATTTGGCTAAGCATCAAATGTTTGGTCTTATATTTCCCATTTTATGTGTCTTTCTGTTGATCTATGTATATGTGAGAAAAAGGGGGCAATTTTTGATGTGCAGTAATATCATACATCACCGATGCATCATAAATCCCTCTGCATAAGCCATCTATCATCTTAATTATATACTTCTCACCCAGTATTTGTGTTATCTACAGTTCTCATCAACAATGACTTTATGCTTCCTTCTGCATCTCAGGCAAAAAAGTTAGCTGGTGCAGGACTGGATTCCCCCGAACCTCACTAAAAGCACGTATCTTTACACTGACTTTGTGGTATGTAACCACTTGCCAGTTTTAATCTATTTAATGTGTGCAGTGTTGATTCACAGCATTCTTAATCAATGTTTTTTGCAATATATGGTACTGAACTGCAAAAGTTGTCTTGTAGAAGCCCAAATATAGCGACACCATTAGCTCTATCAACCAATTTGTAATCTCATCATTCAGAGCTATCAAGTTATTCTGATGGATCTGCTTACCAAAAAACCCCACTGAGTAGTAATAATTATACTGCCTCCCTTTTATTTCTTATTAATTGGTTCCTATATCAACCATTCCTTTATTTTGCCTGGGATTGATGGTAGTCAGTCTGATGATCTTGCAATTACCCAAGTTGTGTAAGTTGTATCATTTATTCTCTCTTAATTTTGTTTTTATTTTTAATATTGGTAATTTTAAAATTACTTTTTCTCATCTTCTTGGACTTTCCCAGTATTACAAGTTATTGAAAAAATCAACATTAATGGTCTGGAGTGACTTACATGTAGCTCCTTTTAGACTCCCATTTATTAATTTTGCGACTTAGCACTTATGTCTAAAATCAGTAGCTCTTATTTGACTTCTTCTGATGCACTGTCGAAGTGAAAATCATGAAGAAATTTTCTTATGAAGTGATCACATCATCTGATCCCTGGCCAAAGATACATCAGTTATTTATTGAACACTTCTGCCTTTTCTGGATTATTTTTGGCAGTTTTATAATTTCCAGTCCCTCTAAGGATTCCTTTTTTCTCCCTTTATGTTCAAAATATCTTTCTGACTATTGTTAACTCTATTTACCATAGATTTTCACTCTTTTGCTTCACTTACTAATTTTCTTGTGTTAAAAGTCTTAGCTTGTAATCTCTGTTCG